ATGAAAACAGAGTCGACACACTTTACAATCACAGAAAATATCACTTCACACTCACCATAACACAGTTCAATCTAAATACTAGTGCTGTCCTCTTACTAAGAAAAAAAACTGATAAGTACAATGCTGGCCGATAATCGTGGAGCCATGCGATGGCGGGTTTATGATCGACAAAGAACCATACATGGGACTGAAGTGAGCAGGTCGCTGTGTGGCTGTGCGTGGGTTGGCTTACAAATGAAGGTAGAGATGCGTCATGCATAGGGTTAAATATTATTTCCTTATAAAATGTCACTGACTTGATATAGAAATATATAATTTGCATTGCTGGAATCCTTGCAAGAAAGCGATTAATTTGAGTACAGTAGGGTCGGGATATATCGCGAGATAGAGTCCAAGGATGTTCGCCATATACTAAATCGCAATATATAATTGCATGTAATCAATGGGGAAAATATGGTTTAGTTCTGGAGGCCAATAAAAGTGACTAAACTTGACTTAACGAGTTTATTTTCTTACTAACTAAAGCACCAATGAACGCCAGACTCGGCAGCAGATGCCACACTGCCACCCTCACTTGACAATCCCACACCTACAGAAAGGAACATCCCAAAAATATTAGTTACAGTATTAAATCTTTTCCATTAAGCTTTCCATTCTCTTCACTTCACTTTTCACGTCACTAGCAACCCATTTACACTCACCTTAGAAGTTGGAATCTGCAGCAGAGTCGGCTGCTGACTCGTCACTCGTGCCGCGCGACTCACAGCCAGCCTCCTTCTCGTCACACGACAACTGTGTGCCTGAACACGGAAACGAAAATGAAACATTTTATGTTTTAGTGCATATTTTCTTACATATTTTGTTTTTGTTTTTCACATGGAATTAGAAATAAACATGCCTAAATGAGTGTCAATGTGATAGCTCACCAACATCATCTCCTGCCTCCTTATTGCTTGAGTCGGTGTGTAGCGCCTGCCTGCACCCCTGGTGGTCCTGCCTGCACCTCTGACGGCGCTGGCCCCGCTTCCTCCCCAGATGGTTCAGTCTCCACTTCACCTGTAAAAAAAATAACATGCACAGGAATCGTTAAAACTAAATTTTTATCTTTGGCATAATGCACTTAGTTGAGATTCCACTCCGACAGCTGAGAGGGTGGAGTGCATGTGCAAGGAGTCTCGTGACCACTCACCTCCACTGGACAGACTTATACAACTCATCTTGTTTTCTCTACTTTTCAATTAAAAACAAACACAAACCTAAACTGGGGCGACTCCCAAACTCCACTTTTTCCGACACAATACCTATGTTGTAGTAAAAATAACATATTTATTTTATGATGGTATGCACACAAAATTAATATTTAAGAGAAATACAATCGCCAGGCTAATGTCCATTCAAATAATGGACTCAACTCTCCCCCTCTTCCCATGCTCGCTGGCTCCTCCCTCTTTGAGAAATGTTTGGGTGAAAACACAAGATTTTAAGGTGTATAGTAATAAATATTACCTCAGACTAAAGTTAGGATAATATAATTGACATTGCTGGACTCCTTGCAAGACCAGGAATATTTTGAATATAAACGTCATATATTTTGCACAAAAGATAAAATGTTGGCTCTTTGTAATCAAAATTCTTACATTAGATCTAAAATTTGTATGTCTAATGCAAATTCTATGATGTTTATATTCAAAATAATCACAATCTTACAAGAATTCCAGCAACGTAAATTATATTCTGGTCGGGTAATTTGTATGAATTTTATGAGCTAAAACAAATATCTTCAGTGAATAAACAAATTATACTTGATCAAGACACTATCTGTCAATCAAAATACCCCACCTCCACTCCCCCCCCTCTTCCCATGCTGGCTGGGTCCCTTCCTCCCTCCCTTCCCTTCCTACCAGAGAAATGTTTGGGTGAAAACATTACAACTAGTGAGCAGGCGAAAGCAGGCGAAAACATGTTGGGAAAAATTCGTAAGGAATTCGTTAACCGAATTGAATACTGTATTCTTATGGAAGGTAATTCGTTAACTGAAATTTCGTTAACCGAGGGATCACTGTAATTATTATTATAATTACTGTTACATTTTTGCCCCCAGATCCCGATGTTGGTCAGTGATCTATGCCCGGGTGGGCTAATCCCTGTTTTAAAAAAAAAAAAAAACTTTCGGTTTTCAGAGCTTTTCGGTTTTCGGAATTTCGGCTAAAGGGTTATCAACCTGTATATAAAACACACACACCTCGATGGGGTTCCGTCAAGACGACCAGGTCGTAAGTCGAAACTGCGAAGATAATACATAGAAATTCTAAATTGAAATATGGTACAGTAAAAGTAATCAGTAATGAAAAATGAATAAAGTGTTACTGTGTACTTACCTTTAATTTAGTCAGCTGAATGCACACGGTTCCTCAATAATTTTTTAATTAAACATGGAGACTACATTAATTGGATGAAGCAGAGGAGGAGACATGGCTGGGTGGGTCATCAATTTCGCTTTCTTCAGACAGGCTAACATACTGTACTTGCTTGTTGAAGGTATTGGATCATCTTTAGGGAGTGAAGAGGCAGCAGTGGTGGGGCGTGAGGAGACAGCAGTGAGGGACTTCTTCAAAAATATGTCCAATTTAGACTGCACAGTTTGTCTTTTCTTTTCATTGTAAATCTCCCTGTAGCAGGCAAGTGCATCTTGGATCAGTCTGTCAACTTTTGTAAAACGCTCAACATTTTGATCCACTTCTTCAAACATTTGCATCCCCTTATTAGTAGTAGCAAATGCCTCTGCCATTTGTTTCACTGAAAACTTTTTGGGGGGGGTGCAAGTTCTTCTACATTTTGTCTCTCTTCTTCCTCTGCATTTTTCTGTGCCTCCAGTTCAATAAGATCCTCGGTTCTTGGCTCTTCTGCTACACTTTTCACCAACTGCTCAACATCTTCATTATCATTTTCTAACTCCAGTGTTTACCCAACTGCACTATCTTGTTACTAATCTCAGAAATTGCTTCATCTTCATTAAATACATTGAAACTGTTCACATATCTTTTCAGGACCTTCTTCCATATTCCATTCATGCACTGACCTGTAACCTTATCCCATGCTGCAGCTATGTTCTTTGTACATTGCAATATGTTGTAGTCCTTCCAAAACTGTATGAGCGTTTTCTCACCTTCAGTTGTAGCAACAGCCTGAGCGAAGGTCGTACGTAAATAATACGCTTTAAAAGCAGCAATAGCACCTTGATCCATGGGTTGGATGATAGAGGTACTGTTAGGTGGAATGTAGACTACCATAACATCAGGGTGCATGTCGTCCAGGTGTGGTGGGTGTCCCGGAGCATTATCTAAAATTAATAAAATCTTGAACGTTGCAGACATTACTCCTTGGCTCGTGGAATGAAACAACTCGGGAACCAATCCTCAAACAGTGCTAAGGTCATCCATGTTTTACTATTACTGTGATAAAACACTGGTAGTGTTTGTGTGTTTGCTGACATTTTTAAAAGCCCATGGGTTCTCTGAATGATATATCATGAGGGTTTTACCTTGAAACCAGCTACGGTATATTCCCCCCCAACAGAAGTGTGATTCGGTCAGCATTGTTTTCGCCTCTTTGTGGATGTATGTCCGTTCTGGCATGTGCTTCCAGAATAAGCCAGTTTCATCCACATTAAATATTTGCTCAGGCAAATAATTACTCTCCACGATGACACGATCTAGCTCCTCCTTAAAAGCTTCGGCAGCACCCACATCAGCTTTTCTGCCTCTCCACTCACCTTTACACTGTGCAAACTGTAACGTTTCTTAAACCTTTGGAACCACCCATGGCTTGCTGTGAAGTTTTGGTCGCACTCATCTCCTGCCCGCTCTTTCAGTCTTTCGAAAAGGCTTCTTGCCTTAGCCTGTATGGATAGAATGCTTAAGGGTACACGCGTTTGCAACTGATGTACTAACCACATCACAAGTAATTTTTCCATCTCATGAAGAGGACCTTGTCTTTTTTTCGTTATTATTGTTCCCTTTATAGCTGTTGATCCTTTCACTACCTCACGAATTCATTCCTTGTCCTTCAAAATTGTTGATATCGTCGAGTGAGAGAAGCCAAGGTCGTGTGAAATGGTTGCTACCGTTTTTCCATTTTCATATTGCATTATTATTTTCATTTTCATCTCAAAAGTAATTGACTGTCTCATTTTCTTCTCAGCACCACAAGAACTCTCACTTTTACACTTACTAGTCATTTTAAAGGGAATTGGAAAAAAAAATTTTGTCAGTACTCAGCGCGATCACTAACGACAACAACGACGGCCAAACACGAACTGAGCTGGCAATGGCGTGGATGCTGTATACCACGAGGCTGCCCAGCTCACGCTGTCGTACGGGACCGAAACGTTTCGGTACTAGAAAATACGTAACTTGCGAATAGCGAGGGTTTACTGTACTGTATTAGGCAATAATTTGGGCATTGTTCAATTATTTTGAAAAACTGCAAAAAAAATTTTTTTAATTTATTGTGATAGGAATTAGGAGCATTTAAAAATAATGTTGTAAATATACAGTTTTGTCTGATGTTCCTTGAAGATTGTATGGATGAAGACTATTTAGGTAGTTTGGGCATGTGGAGTGTATCAGTGATCAGTTTTGAAGATCTACAGTACAGTAATTCATTTTAAAGATAGGAGATGAAATGAATTACTGAACAAATTTTTAAAGAGTTTCACAATGTAGTACCATATGCTTGGGGAATGTCTAAATACCATACATAGTGGTGATTAACTGTAATGCAAGTGGAAGAAAGAATGTAGTTGGAAGTTTCCTGACCACTGTAATAGGCAAAGTAAGGAATAATAAAAAAATAAATTTTTGTTGGTGCTTGTGAACTTACTTCCACATGATGCTAGTTGTAGTGCTGATATTTGTAGTTTTTCTTTTCTGATTAGATATTTTAACATTATTTGTAAAGTATTTTTGTAATTTTTTTGTGGTTTATAAAATGTTTTGCAGGTGGTGAAGGTGAGGCCTTTATCCCAGAGGCGTACCTGAGAGAAGGAGGTCCTGCCTCCTCCTCCTCACAACAATCCCAACAACAACAAGCTCCCCCAAATGCACCCCCGCCCCCCGGGCCACTATTACCGTCATATGTTCCGCCACCACAAGTGAAGACACAAGATGGTGAGTAGCATTAAACTTTTTGCAATATTATTTTTTCTTTTTATTTGCCAAGGTCAAAGCTTCATTACCAGCTTGAGCCACCTTTAGTTGTGTATTTTTGTATGCAAAGTTTGATGTTTAAAAATTACAAATTATTGTTTTTGTATCAACTTCTGATGCTGCTGTTTAGGTAAAATGTGAATATTGAGAACACTTCGTGTTAAGAGAAGGTACCAGTATTGGCACTGATGGGTTTATTATTTTGAAACGTTTCTTTTTGGTTGTTTATCTTGATCGCTTTTGAACAGCAGGATGGTAGCTGCAGAATCTTGTCCATTTTATTAGCTCACCTGTTTTCGAAGAAAACAAAGAGCTTTGTCATCATCCAGGTATCAGCGTTGTTGTCGTTGTCCTGTTGTCCAGTTAAGTTTTAGATTTTGCCTCAGTAGCTGTAAACAGATGAACATTTGCCTCTGCTTGCATTGCTCAGTTTTCTTTATACAGTATTTGTAAATGCTGAAACAACTTTGGCAGTACTTAAACCATTTTCTGAAAATTTCTGCATATTGGTTGAGTATGTAACTACAGTACCTTATTCACACTAAAGATTTGAACGAAAAGAATGAATGTTGTTTAGATTGTTATATTGTGCTTAAAAGAAAAAAAAATAGGAGAAAAGGAACAGAAGAGACAGAGAAAAGTTGAAATTGAGACAGTTTGATAGAAGAATGATTGATATGTTGAATAATCTAAGAGTGAAAGAGTGAATTTGAAGGAAAAGAAAATTTGATACAATCCTGAGAATAAAGTTGAACCCAGAATGTCTGATATTACATATCTTTGTGGCATCACTGGATATATATTACAAAAAATAGATTAAAACAATGCTTATACTGTATGCATTAAATTTTATTACGGTACTTTTGTGAAGTACTGTATTGACTTACCATGTAAACAAGTGTAACACCCTACACAAGGAAATGTTAAAGAAAATCAGCCTCTAGATTTTTTCCTATTTTATTTGGTAAATTATGAAGCTGAGGTTGGCCAGTTATGGCTCCTTGGCAAGGTGCAACAGTGTCCGATGATTGTGTATCGCCACTTCAAGTATCGAAAGCTTGGGAACTTCCGATTTTTATTATTACCGTAGATGCCTATGCGTAGAATTTTATCTTATCTTAGTTTAATAGCATAGTAACTTGTATTTAGTTCTTGTAGTGATGCTTGTTACTTGCTGTATATGTGTTGTCTTATGTTAATTTCTTCTTTTCAATTCATTTTCCTTGTATAGTTTTCTGCTTCTCTCTTAAAAATAGTGTATTGTAAAATAACATTTGAGTGCATGGTCTCATACAACCCCTCTGACCATGTTTGTAGAATGTTTGTGACATAACAGCTTGAAACAGTGAAACAGTGGACATTTTAGTCCTTGTCATATTCAGTAGTTGGGAGTGTCTGCTGCACCTAGCCTTGTCATGGCTTCAGCAGTGATACTCTTCAAGTGCCACTTCACTTCTCTCATTTGAGGGCTGAACAGTCATCTTTTGTCATAAATGAGTGCCATAAGGTAGCCTATGGACTTCCAACAAGAGAGAAGGCACAGTAAAGGCTTTGCCATGGACTCACTGAAAGTTGTTGTTTATGGCGCAAGCATTCTTCCAACAAGTGTTCATGCAATCCCTGTGAGTACGTTTGTGGGTGTACTTGGGGTGGTAATCCCCTGTGAGTCCCCCCCCCCCTCTGTGGTGGCCGTGCGCTGATGCGGGTGTGTGTCTCTTCCCCAGGGCTCTGTCGGACCCCACCGCACCCGGTAGGGGGACTCATCAGACGCTTTTTGGAAGAATGCTTGCAGCTAACTGAGCCGGGACCCCTGCTGTCCTGCTATACGGGACTGGAGTCGACCCCACACTTCCAACTTCTGCGATCTGTAGCAAAGGAATGGAGCTACTGCCGTAATGCCACCCAGAATTACACCACTATGGGTGGTAGTAGCAAACGCCAGAGGGCTACTTCAAGGCTTATTGAAACATTTGAAAGTATTGATGCTCTTCGCACACAGCTGGCTCACTACATGCACCAGATCATTCTGCTGGAAATGTCCAGTCCTGGTACTTTAGCAAAAGTATCACAGGCTGAACTCCAGGTACAGCAACATCAACAACAGGTAAATCAACAGGCACAGCAACAGCAAGGGGAAGGAGCAGCAGCTGAAGGGGGAAATAATAGTAATTCTGATACTGCACCCATGGATATAACAGAGATGACAGGTATCACAAGTGAGCAAGGCAATAACTTCGCTAAAGCCACTGAAGTTATGAAGCAGTTACGTAAGTTGTATTTTGACCAGTCTCGCCGACTAGCTGTGCGCATTAGCCAGCTGAAGAAGGGGCGACAACAGTCTCAGGAACGTATGCAGAGACAGCAAGCCATGCAACAAAACTACCTCCAGCAAACTTTACAACAGCTCCAGCAACAGCAGCATCACCAGCAACAACAGCAACAACAACCACAGCATCACCAGTCTCAGCAGCAACAGCATCACCAGGGACAACAAATGGGTAGTCATCAGATGGGTCAAGGTCAACAAGATGGAGCTGCACAGCTCTTACATGGTCAACTGTCTCTGCATCATCTCCACCAACCTTGGTCTGACTAGTACTGGTGATGAAGTTGCATCTCATAAAACTGGTCTTGTCCTCTAAAATGTAAACCTATTAGCAGCAGCTACCTGCAGTCCCACTTCTGTTGTGAGATACTTAAAGTATATAATGGTAAGGTCCATGCAAGAAGCTTGTGACAGAGGCAACAGGCTCAATCAAAAGGCCATTTTTGTGCTGGAATTGAGAGTTTGCTTCCTCAGAAGGTATTGCTTTCCTGTGCATACTGATAAATCAACTTCAGTTAAAGCCAGTGATAATGTGAAACAATGCCTCTTTTAAGTTTAGAGTAGTGGATATGCAACTATTGTCATGGTCATGATGCGTATGAGTGCACAAAGGATTTTCCAGAATCTCATAGCTAACACAGTCCTGGAAACCATCTATGCATTGTACAGGAAATCTTATGACCATTTCAACAAAAATAATTTTGTTACTAATTAATATGTAGAATGTGGTGTACATAATATTAAGTACTGGTAGGTATGGTGAATAACCTATTGTGGTATAAGGATTCAGTGTTCCAATTAGGTTTTTGGAAAATGTGGTGTCATAAGGCATAAACATTTTCCTTCAGCACACAACTCAGGAAGTGACAGGGCATATGTTACATATTCCAACTCTCCTCACAAGTCTTTTTTTAAGCTGTAAGGTTGAATGCTTCACAATCAAGAACGGGTCTCTTGCTACTTAAGCCACATTGAGGAGCTTGATTCAAACGTCTAAATGGAACACTGTTTTCTTCACAATGTAGGTGTCTTGTTTGAGAGGTATTGAGCATTTCAGGTATTACTGGTAATCAAATTCTTATACATTAATGAAGAAAATGGTTTAAAACATTGACAAAAGGTCCTTGTGGCGATTTGTCTGCCATAACTTGCAGTCGTCAGAAGTTATGTGTGAATGTGTTTTATCCTGTGACTGGTGTGCAGGGCTGCAGCTTCTTCTCCCCCCCCCCCTTCCCAGGGAGTCTCTTCCAATACAAACCTTGTAGTTTGGAACAGTTACAGATATATCCATCTATGTCATTACTGTGTGTACATCCTTGTGATGCTCCTCATCTTACATATGAATGATCACATAAACTTTATACCTCAAGATTCTACCTGTAAACAAGCCAAGACTTAAAATCTATTTTATTTACTAGCATTATACCAGGTGCTCTAAGCCCAGTGTCTTTAGTGGTCTTATATTTAGAAATGGCTAGGCTTATGTGGGTGGAGGTTTTGTTGACATATGCCAAATTTTACATATACCTTGCATGAAATATAAGTTTAGTATTGGAGTTAGCCTCTTAATGATGTGCCATGGGCAGAATTTGCTGCTCTTGGGCTAGGCACAGTGGACTCAAGTTATATTGACCATACAAATGAGAAATATGGCAAATTATATTAGCCATACAAAGTAGAAATACGGCACTTGGCGTATGTTGTTAGTTTATATTCAGGTATGTATGTATTACATACACATGTCAGAGTGAGGGGGCTTATTAAACTGAGCAGTTATCAGGTAAACAAAGTTCAGGTTTCAATTAGACTTAAATGCTTTTGAATGGTACTTGCATCAGGAAGAAGCTAAAGTAATTAAAAGTCTCAGTATCCAAAGATGACTGAAAAAACTCACATGATATGTTGCTTTTCTCCTGGTGCAGGTTGACCTTCAAAATCCAACATTTTACAGATTACAGAGATAGCTATATTTATTAAGTTACATTAGGCTACATTATACTATTTTTTATGGTATTTAGATTGTTTATTATTTTATAATTTTTATTAATGTTTGATAATGCATTTTGATATTTTATATTTATATACTGTATAGTGTATTTCAATCTGAAGTGTATGATTGTGTCAAATGTTTTAAGAAGCGCTAAAGCTGAATCCATAGTAGGGTTGGCCAGGTCAAGTTCATAGCAGATCTTGCCTTAGAGGGTACAGGAGTTTTTGAGGTCTGTGCCCAACTCTGTAACACACGGGGATAATGTCATGCTATGCAACCTTCAGTCTCGAGTAAACAAGAGCTCAGTTATGGAGGAACTTTTGCCATGACAAAAGTTTAAGAAACACAAGAACTGGTATGCATAATGATTGCTGCTACAGATCTCTTGTTTGATAAATGATGTGTGATGTAAAGCGCATGATAAATTGATTTTTTTATAATTTATATAGCGGGTAATGTAAAACAGTATTTGTATTTCATTGTAGGGACATAGTGATAGATCAGTAACCTCAAAGATGTGTTACTTCTCCATTGGTGTTGTTCTAAGTTTGGGAAATTACATGAACTCTCTCTAGGCCTGTGAACGTATGGGTTATTTTTTATACCAATACCTCAGGTGTGTTGGATCTGATGAACAATTATTGATATCCAGACCACCATATGTAAGTACCTGTGATTTGCTGATTTTTTTTTTTAGCTAATACACAAGTGCTTACGATGAGGTCTGTGATGATAAAATTTGTGAACCTAGTCCCAGACATTTGTGGTATTAATGTATCCATTCTTGGTCAAGTATTACATATATCAGCTGTGAAAGAAGACAAGAATGACATGAACTCTCTTTAGGCTTGTGAACGTATGGGTTATTTTTTATACCAATACCTCAGGTGTGTTGGATCTGATGAACAATTATTGATATCCAGACCATCATATATAAGTACCTGTGATTTGCTGATTTTTTTTTTTAGCTAATACACAAGTGCTTACGATGAGGTCTGTGATGGTAAAATTTGTGAACCTAGTCCCAAACATTTGTGGTATTAATGTATCCATTCTTGGTCAAGTATTACATATATCAGCTGTGAAAGACGACAAGAATGACTGGGCTTGCAATTAGGTATTGACAAATTATTTGTATATATAAGCTGTATCAGGCTTCGAGCCCTGCATGCATGGCCACAAGCTGGCAATGGATCATATGATGGATGGTGCAGATTTCATTCACTAGGATATATGGTTTTTGTGTTTAGGAAATGATTTTATGAAATGGGAGATGGATTGTAGATAAATGTTTTGGAGATGAATTTATAAGAATTGGATGTGAATTTTTGAATTGGATAAGAGCGTAGAATTAGGAAATGGCAAGAATATGATGGAATGGTTTAGATAAGTGGGAGATATAATTGGAGAGAGAATGATTAGATGAGTTTATTCAGATGAGTTGATTAAAAGTGAATGTAAAAGCAAAAAAAAAAAAAAAAAAGAAAAGGTGCAGGGGTAAAATTAAGGATTACAGTACAGGTATGTGTATTATTGGTGTTTCATGGGAAGGATGTGTGCTAAATTGTTGAGCATGTGGAATGGAAAAGGTTCATCGTTTACTACCCTGCAGTGATGCAGGAGAGCGTATATATTTATATATATATATATAAGGTCAGTATCATTACATCATTGATAAAATTACCCAGAATTCATGCTTGCAATAGGGCATTTTAAGTACAACAATAATGAGTTGGATCGTAAGTCCTAGCCAAAAATCATGGACAGCAAACCTGGGTGGAATGGATGCTATAGTACAGTGTATCTGTTCTTACAAAGACTTGTATGCACTCCATTAATGTCCATCATATCCATACCCACGATACATATCCAGGGCTACACAATAAACGGGTACTACATACAAGGTCACTATAACAGGGTCCAGCTGGCGTGCCTAGCGCTTCCGGTGTTGTTCGTCTTGCATTCCTACAGTGGAATTAGACATTCAGGATCAGTTACCTCTATTATTTCCACATTATTTTTGGGTTAGGAAAGTCCTTAGAATAAATTATAATCACTCTGGTCTCTTGAGCCAATTTCTTGGGTGCATCTACCTCATGTGGTTTCTTCTGGTGGCTTGTGTGACCCCTTCCATGACATTTTAAGGTCCTCCTCATAATCAAAGTCAGGGATTGAATTTAGAGTGTCTGCTGATCAAATTTTGTGTTATATTCAATGTCTTCTCAGGGTCACATTAGATAATGGCCGACTTTCCATGTTGCTAATAAGGCTGGATTTCTGAAAATGCTAGTAATTAGAACCAGCTAACAGGACATTGACAGGTGTCATTTTCTGTCATGTAGCCATGAGAATCATTAGAATGTTCATAATTGCAGAAATAATTCATTGAGTTATTTTGGGCCTTATGAGGTCATTATGGGAGGTGTCTGTCAAACCAAATGTTAATATATCCTGCAGGTTTTTAACATTCAGGGTCATGTATTATTATATACAGCAACTTTTCTGTCAGGGGTTCTTGCAATATTCAGGTGAAGATACCATAGTTTTTGTAATTTTTTGCCATGACAACTTGTACAACTCGGCTACAACTTCAACGCAGGTACTTTGTAGTCTGGGGATGTCTTTGTAAACAAGTTAATAATATTACTGGCAGTTTAAAACTGTATAGGTGATAAATTACTTGATGATTCATAGCCATGCAAAATGTTTACTGTTTAGAACATGTTGTGATGTTTCTTAGTAAGGACATGACATGACTGGTGATGCTAAAACTTCCACACTGCCTCTATAAGTCCAATTTTTCTCACTGGTAGAAAGGTTGTTGCATTCATAGTTGCAGTGCAATTATTAGCACTTGCCAAGCATGTTTCAGATTTACTATTATTAGGTTTTAAGTTTCATATTTGGGTTATTAATACTGTATGTGTTACACCCATACTTCAATTATCTAGCAAAATATTTGTAAGTCTTTTTATCAACCATAATGTAGAATTTTCCCAGTTTCATGAAAATATGTGGATAAGCTATGAACTTCTTAGTTTTTAAATTATATGCCTTGTGTGATTTAGGATTTTATTATCTGACTCGTAGATAATATGAAGTATTTGTGTGTTTCTTTTTATAACTATTGTACCTTGTATTTGATTTTGTTAAGAATTTTATAAGAAAATAGTTTGTGTTTTTACTATCAGTGATAGTGCATATTTTCAGAAGTGCAAAATTTTGTATTATTTCCCTTGTAAAATAGGATTTGTAATGGAGAAAGAAAAATATAGCATTGAAAAGATAAAATTTATCTTTGATAAAATTAGATCTTTTTGTGAAATTTCCATATTATTGTACACTTAAATGTAAACTTCAAAGATATTAACTGTGGTTGTTATATTTTTTATATTTATTATTATTATTATTATTATTATTATTATTATTATTATTATTATTATTATTATTATTATTATTATTAGTTAGGTGGTAGCAAAGTAAACACAGAATCAGAGAGACGACTTTATTCCAGACATTTTGTCTCAAAGAACTTTTAAAAAGTTCTTCAAGATGAAATGTCAGGAGTAAAGTTGTCTCTGACCCAGTGTTTCCCTTGCAACCACCTCAGCCATTTTTCCAAATGAATCCGACTATTATTATTATTAATATTATTATTATTATTCTTATTATTATTATTATTATTATTATTATTATTATTATTATTATTATTATTAATATTATTATTATTATTATTATTATCATCATCATCATCATCATCTTCGTCTTTATTATTGGTGAAATTTCCAGTGTAGATCTTTTCAAATACATTTCTTTCTCAACTACTTATCCTAAATAATTTCCAAGTAAATCTATCTTAGTGTCTAACGATAAACAGTATATGGGTTTGCTGCGTACAAAACAAATAGCCATTGTCTATTTGATGTAATACGATTTTTAACAATGCCCGTTATCATAGAGGATTAGGGTTCAGATAGCTTAAATACGTGGTTGTGTCTTGACTGGCAAGTTTAAACCTTTGCAGTTTCTTGTGAAGTATTCCATGTTTTAACTTGTAAGATGAAAAGTACTATAGAAATCTTGAATAAAGATTCAGACTTGCCAGGGAGTCACATTTATTGTCCGTTGTCAATCTCTAGTCCTCATCTTTCCATTTTAAACGTTTGTAATCCCCTGTATCTTCATATATGTACTGGCAAATTTAATGCAAGGTTAGAAGGATGTCAGGGCACTGATGACACTGACAGAAAGCTTTACGTTGTTAGGTGCACTATATTATTTGGAATATGAAGGGTGTATCATTGTTGGGTTAAAAAGTGTGAAACACTGCTTGGAAGCTTTAAACATGCTCTTGATTTTATTTGCCATGAAATCTATTGCTCAAAGTAACTCAGTTTAAATAGGTTTTAAAAGGTAATGACAGTAGTAAAATATATGATATTCTTATGAATTAATGAAACATTTTTTTTTATTGTTGGGTAGTTTCATGTTTGTTATTTTTTATGACTCATAAACAGTTTAATAGTTTTATGATATATTTCTTATCATTCCTTGAAATTGCTGAGGCAATATGTTTAGTACTTTATATATATGCTGGTTGGTGCCTCAGTGTCCCGATAGCTTCAGATGTTGGTGTCGTAGCTTTAGATGATAATGTCTAGCATACGGAACTATCAAGTGATTGCAGTGGACTCCTTGGCGAGTTTCACTGTGCCATGGCATTCTATTCAATGCATTTTATAGTCTCACATATGGAAACTAATTGATACCTATTAATAAATGAACCTAACTTAGACATTTTTATTTATTTTTTCCTTGTTAAATTGTTTTCAAGTGTACCCAAGAATATTTGAATTTGGGTATCACTTAAAAAAAAATGTCCTCTTAATAAAACTTATAAGACAGCTGCCGGTGTCAGCAATTAAGATGTCCGTAAATTTTGGGGATGAGTTTGTTCAGTTGATCCTGTTATCTGTGTATCTGTATATTCATGCGATCCTGGCACTTGCCCTCCTCCCCCAGCAGCACCAGTTCTGAGCAATGTTTGGGAAACATTGTTTCTTTCCTGACTCATTCCAGTTCCAGATAGTTGAGCAATTTCATCTAGTAGTCTGGTTGTTCAACCAGGTAAAAGAAGAAGCTTGGCCTTGATTTTTCTGCATTCAGGAGGGGGCTTGGGTTTAATTGGTGACTGGTAAATTTCCAGTGGGTGAATGCTTGTCCATTTTTTAAATGAATGATTACTCGGTCCCATGGGCCTTGAAAGTACTGTAGTGTTTAAAAATTAATAAGAGATGACAGAACCTTTGGAACACATGGTACTGAACCAGAAAGACTGAAATCCTTTTGGGTTATATGGCTAGATGTTGGAGTAAAATGGTAAAATGTGATTTGGTATCAATGGGGTTGTGCCCAGATTGTTCAGTGAGCCAAAGGGACTGAGAGTCATCCTGACCAAGTGTCCAAAAATCTTTTCAAGGTGTCAGGTTCAGGATGATTATTATTTAACATGTGACAGAGCTAAGGAGGGACCTTGGTTACCTCTATTGATCTAAAGAATGCCTATTGGAATGTTCTTTCTGAGGCATTTTAGTAAGTTAAATGACATTTATTCTATAAAAGAGTTTAACAGCCGGTTAATTTCTTTTGGGTTGAAAGTGTGTCAATCTTCAAGCTGTCTGGTGGTTCATTAGATCTGGTTCATAGGAAGGGATTTGTCTATACTGTATAATTATAGATGATTTGCCAAGCCTGAGTCCATCTCGGAGGGGAGTACTTGTGACACTCATCAGTTAACAGTGATATAGTACTTCCAAATTAACAGTGGTTTTGGCTAGTACAGGTTCTTACCCAACCAGGAGAAAGCCAAGACTTCTCCTAGTCACTGTAATACTGTCAAAGTCACCAGTGGAACACTGGATCTGTGTTAGTGGGTTTTTCAACTGTGGAATCATCTGAAGGAGATTATGTGGTTTTCTGGCTCATAAAATTGGCATTCAATCACGGAATTTCAGCTTCTGTAGTAGAGTTGTGCTATTCGAAAGGTCAGTGGTAATGAGGTTGAATTGGTTTTTAATGACCAGACTGGGACAGGCTGACGTACTCATTTAGAGCAAACACTGGGTTGTCCATTCTTGTCCATCCTGCTTGTCTGTGCATGTGTTTAATTCTTACTGATAGAGGTTAAATTTTTTTTGAAGATATATTTTTTCTCCAGTCTCATGGATAACCTTCTAAGAGAAATTTGTTGGACAATTGGTTCCAGAAAAGGATGAAGTTTCCTTTTTTCACCGGTAAATGATATAGAAGGTTGGGAGTATGGTTTCCAACTCTCATTAGTTATTTTGAAGTTTCTAGTGCTCATCTTTGAGAGACATAAGGAACAAGATTTTGGGGGATTATTATTATTATTTTTTATTTATTTATTTATTTATTTTTTTACATCTGGCCTGTAGTAGCTTGTGTAAGAAGCAACCTTCCAGATCTTTTCTATGACGGGTAGTTTACAATGCAGTGTTTGTTCTTGACCCAAAGCAGTGCTTGGTTTTCTCTTTGGTATTGGCATGGTTTGTTCAATAGTAAGTGTTCCTTTTCACGGTTGAATCATAGGGTGGGTAGATATTTGGTATCTTGCCTTAGTGCTCATTTCACAAGTTAACCTATACGGATTTTCAAGGTTCTCTTGTTACCTACTGGTAGCATAAGGGAAGTGCTGTTAGATTTGTAGTTTAGGCTGAGTGTGGGGCACCCTAGTTTTCATGTTTGACATATTCTGCATCAACCGGTACTTTGTTTTACTCTTCCTGGTCTCATTGCACATTGCCACCTCACTTGGAATCTTAATGGTTTCCTTATTAATGAATGATGAGGTACAGTATCTGTTCAATTCGTTGTGAACTGTGCAACATTATTACACATCACACTCCCATTATCTCATTTTGAGCAAAAGCTGTTACAGGTGAGTAAGTGATCTAATTACTTCCAGTTGCAATGGATTAATGGCTTATTGGAGAAACTGTAAGTTGATGGTACATTATACAAGCCATTACTCACTGACTTTGTAAAAATAATGGTTTTCAAGATCAAACATTAATTTTTCTCTGTTGGTACCAAGAGTTTATATATACTGTATTAATTTTATTACTGTAACTTGATGTCTTGTTCTTCTATCTGTCCCACACACAATTTCCTTAAGTATGTCCTTCATCTCAGAATTTCTAAATTTTTACCAATCTTTCACTTTCTAGTCTCTCAGTATGCCCATACAACCATTGCAGAACTTGGCCAGCTTTCTATCCTTTATTTCTTTCATATCTATATCTCATAAGATGTGTATTTTGTATTCTCTCCATCCTATTCACTATACTTGTATTACTCTCAATCATATGGTTTTTGTAGATTTTAATTTGCTTCTTTTATATATATCCTGTATATCCAGATACTATGCATCCTATCCACATAATGATGTCAGTTTAGGCATTCTCCCATGCACTGCTATCTCTGCCTCGTTGACATGGTTTTCTGTCTAAACTGTACTATATCTTTCTCAGTGTACTTATGAGTTAGCCAGTTCCCTCTGTTGCTCTGTACTTAATCTCTCATTGTTCCATTCTCTTACCATATCTGTAATGCCTCACTCCCTTCTATCCCCATTCAGACTAATGCTATTTTATGTCTTGTGTACCTTCTATGCTTCTGTTCACATTCACTATTATTTTTTACTTATGCACACATTTCTAAACTAGTTCATTGAACATTTCCAATTTTCTTCTTAATTATTTAACAGAATAGTATGACAACCCGTATCTGATTCACCTCCTATTTACATCCCCTGTCTGTATTAGTAACAAGATTTAATCCCATCTCCATTATTCTTGCTTTCACCCCTCTTACTACCCCATCCATTAAACTATTGAACACCCATCTTAACATAAGCATCCTTAATACAACCCCCCCTCCCCCCCCCCACACACACCTAACATGTTTTTCACTTTTCTTTTAAAATCTCAGAACCACATTTAGTAACTTCCTATATCGTGCATGCATTTTCAGTACCTAAAATATGACTTTCTTCAGTCAACTCAATCATTTGCTTTTTCCAGATCCATGAATGTTACAAACAAATACTTCATTACCAAACAAATTTTCCCTTGCGATCCTCTTTCTCTATTACACTTTTATGATGTTGCAACAATGCCTTCAATAATGACTATACCATTCGCTTGTTATACTTACACTTTTTCCTTTGGAATTTTAGTATTTGTTCTTGTCCCTTTTTCCTATACTGTACTATACATTCTCTCTCTATTCTTCTAATACTCTTACCTCTTTCATGCCAAAGCAATACATTTTTGTCATTCAATCTACCATTTTACCAGCTGAGTGCTGGTATGAAGATGGCTCCTTCTGTATCTCAAAAGTGATCAGCAAGAGAAAATCATTACCTGATGTGGACGTTTCAAAGTTTTAATTGCAAAAGGGGTACTTAACTGCTTGTGATTTTAAATAAAAATAGGATTTTATATTATTTAAACTTTATAGGATTTTATTTAATTTTTACCCTGTATCATAGTTTTAAATTTTGAGTTTCATTTTCGGCATCAAATGGTCACAGGCTGCAACTTCAGATATTTTACCCAATCAATCAATCACTGCCACCTCGTTACCTTAAGATGTCCATCACCAATATATCAGTTTGCTGACATTTTCCATCTAAGTTTGTTTATACTGTAGTCTTTTTCACCTCCTGTCTTATTATCTCATCCTCCTCTATGTTAATATTTTTATTTTTTTCCATGTCCCAAACATGATGATTTAGCCTCTCTCATCTGCAGCAATCACTAATTTCTCAAAACATGTTTTTCATCTCACTTTTGTTTTTTCTCTTTTTTGCATTACACTACTAGTACAGTGGTCCCTCGGTTAACGAACACAATTCGTTCCAGAAGGTTGTTCGTTAACCGAAAATTTTGTTAACCGAAACCATTGTTTCAATGGGATTTTGGGTAATTGGTTCCAGCTCACTGAAAATTACACAAAGGAAAAAAAATGCAGTAAAGTACACTTACTTTGAGGTGTGTATGTAGAAGGCTCCTGGTTGATGATGTTGATGTGAATTTGAAGTGGGAAGTGGAGGAGGAGAAGGGAGAAGAGAAGGAAGTAGGGGTGGAGGAGAAGCATTTTACTGCTTCTTGGAAGGCGAGTCACCTTCCATGAAAATGTCAGGAACCTCTGGACTGACATTCTCCAGCAAGAAAATCCTCTCTCCTTTTTGAAGTGGAATGCTGAGGGGTAGCATCTTTTTTCCGCTGCCTTTTAGTGAAGAAACTGTCAATTTTTGTTTGTGGGGCATTTTTCCTCATCATTAACTGATTTTTGAAGAAGGAGAGCACTTTGTACTCAACATTACACAAAACAGGTTCTGTTGTTTCCACATCAGGGTGGAAACAACATCTTTTAAGTCTGAAGAAGACATATGGTTATCACTTTCCCTTTCCTCCTCACCACTGTCAGCTTCTAACAGCTCATCCAGTTGCTGCAAGTCTTCAGTAGTAGGTTCCTGCTCATGAGACATCACAAGCTCTTCCACATCATCCTCCTCCACTTCGAGGCCCAATGAATGACCAATGGACACAATCTCCTGGTCCAACTCCGTTTCTTCCTCAAATCCCTCAAAATCATGGACTGCTGATGGCCACAGTGCTTTCCATGCAGAATTGAGGGATCTAATGGAGACTTCTTGCCATGAGGACACAATCAATTTTACAGCCTCCAGGTTGTTGAATTGTGTCTC